TGATTTTGGAAGAATATGATACCGATAAAGATGATCACCCATTGTATGTATAAAAATATCAAATTATATCCAAATTATATCAATCACGGTAGCCATGTTTCTCCTCGTGTATCGTGTGGAGTATGTGATGATGGGAATTAGGTGAATTATGTGGGATCAATAAGATGTTGAGCAGGGGTAGGAATTAATAAGTATGTTCATACTTCTTCCTACTCCTTTTCAGACCAAACATTGTTACATTATGTCAGACGATTTTGTTTTATTTCATTATTTTTTTTTTGTTTATCTGAACACATACGTGTGTGTGTGTGTATATCTACATATATATTCGTATCTGTAAATGAAAATATATGTAGTGTGTATATATTGTTTTTTTTGTTTTATATGTCTGAAACAAATAAAGATACAATACAATAGATTAATAGTGTGTAAAAGTGGAGGTGAAGATGTGTTCATGGAGTTTCCTCTGTTTCCGAGCGGGAATCACTGAATCCTGCTCAGCTTTGGAAGAAATCAGTGGAGAAAAAAATATGGATGCGACATTAATGTAGCAGGAATAACTTTTTAATGACGGCACAAATATAAAAGCGTCTCAATCGGTTCAGTTTTTTCCTCTTTCACGTCTCACGTGTATATGGCGCCCTCATCTGTCCAATCATAGACATTACACCAGAGTGCATTTAAACAAAACGATACAAAAACGAACAGACAAACATATATACCAGATTTCAGAAATTAAACTGAGTGAAATGACGATGGAGTTTTTATTATTAATAAACCTTTAAATAGATTTTCATTTGTGTTCAAAGGGCTCAGTTTTATTCGACATTTTATCTTTTAGATCTTCTTCCTGCTGCCCGACTGTTCCAGTCCAAAGTGACCATTACATTTTATTTTTACTAAACCAGCAGCTCAAAGTGATTAAAAATGCATTCAAAGATCACAAACTTTGAAGCAGAGTTGTAATAAAATATTTGAATCTGGAACAAATTTCAGTTAATATACTGAGTATGTGTTAATAATTCTGCTGTCTGTCATTTTCTTTTGGAACACATGAAAATAAAAATCAGAATAGCGCTTGGTGTCTCTGTTTGTGTTTTTGCATGTATTTGTGCACATTTTGCCTCGTGTTGTATTTATCTGGTTTTACATCATTGTGTGTTTTCTGTCTCCTCTTTGTTTCACAGCATTTGTCACTGTGGACGATGTTTCGAGTCTCTGCAGCTGTTTTCTCAGTTTTTGACCTTCTTGTTTCCATTTCAGTGTCCCTACAGTCATGATTTAGTCTTTATTGTGTTTTTTCTGCTTCAGATGAAAACATGTTTATGTGTTTATGGCAGTAATCCATCTGCATGTCCAAGGGCCCATCAGCCAGTCTGTGAAGTTTAATGACAGATTTCTGTAGTCGCTCTGAGTCCAGATCGCTTCTCCCTTCTCCTCTGTTCTTTAAAGTTAGTCTGCTTCACTGGTCCCTCTTTGACCTCTGACCTCTGTATGAGAACAGGTGAAGAAGGCTAACAAAGCAGAGAGTTGGGACAGAGACAGGACTACAGGCATAAAATCAAAGTAAAATGTGAGCATCGCTCATTTTTGACTTTCACGCCAAATAACAAATGTATTCTAATAAAACTCATCCATTTAAGTATGTTAAGGTTTAAAGTTAATCATTTACTCCCTGATGTTAGCATTACTCACGCATCAATCGAAATATCTGTGTCCTGAATGAAAACATCATTTATCTCTAGAGGAGGTCCACAATTCAGCTTTTATTCTGAAGCTCCCACTTCCTCCCTTCACACCTGAAGAGGTTTGTGAGCAGGTGAAGCTCTGTTTCTCTGACTCAGCCTGCAGCTGTCAGCAGCCTGTGCAGATCAGTTGAGAGCAGCTTTGAGGAGATGAGGAAGCCTTTTTATAGCTTTACAGTTTTGTGAGGGGCCTCAGGAAACCACTCAGCCACACTAACAGAACATTCAGGGGCACCGAGCTCTTTGTTTCGCCTTTCTCTCCTTTTCTGCCTTATGGACAAAAGTACATTCCTTCACACACGCCTCCGCCTGCATCAGTCCAGACGCTCGGTCCAGCTTTTGGTTTGTCTCGTATGTTACATTTATTGTGCAGACAAACAAGCAAGCCCAGTCAGGCACAAGAAGTAACCGTATTAAAGTACTCGAATACTCTCAGAATCAGACAAAAACCTCGTTTTGCAGTAAAACGTCTCCTGTGGCTGATGCCTGATTCTCAGTCCAGGCCTCTGAGGTCAGACCCAGGGGTGAGGAGTCGTTATGTGAGGGAGAGACTCCAGTATTCTTGTAACATGTGACCATGAAGACAGAGGCGAAGCAAGCAAAGAAAAACAAACCAAGAAGTTCAGAGCGCAACAAAAACAAAAGGACAAGGAAATCCAAAGAGACGAGCCGGTGAGGACAAAAACAGAAACACAAAGCACTCACCCTAAATATGAAGACTGACCCTGTTCTCATTTTATAACCCCTCCTTTGGTTCCTCCACCAGAGACCTGGGGAGGCTTCTCCTCCTCTGTGACCTGGAGGAGGACAGAGGAGGGAGGAGTCTGCAGGAGGAGCTATCAGTGAGGACGCACAGGTGTATCCTGTGGAAGTGTTTTAGGTGGAGGGAGATGGGCACTTTGAACAGCGGGTCCTTTTTCTCCACAAACTGTTTCTGTTATTAAAGACGATCAAATGTTCCCCCGTCAAAACCAAAAAAACACTTTTTATTATTTTCTCCTTTTGGTCGCGTCTCAAATGAACTCTCAACAGTTTTCAGAAGATTTGTGGGGAGTTATTATAGAGTTAACATAGAGTTATCATAGAGTTATTATAGAGTTATCATAGAGTTATCATAGAGTTATTATAGAGTTAACATAGAGTTATCATAGAGTTATTATAGAGTTATCATAGAATTATCATAGAGTTAACATAGAGTTATTATAGAGTTATCATAGAGTTATCATAGAGTTATTATAGAGTTAACATAGAGTTATCATAGAGTTATTATAGAGTTAACATAGAGTTATCATAGAGTTATTATAGAGTTATCATAGAATTATCATAGAGTTAACATAGAGTTATTATAGAGTTATCATAGAGTTATCATAGAGTTATTATAGAGTTAACATAGAGTTATCATAGAGTTATTATAGAGTTATCATAGAGTTATCATAGTTATTATAGAGTTATTATAGAGTTAACATAGAGTTATCATAGAGTTATTATAGAGTTAACATAGAGTTATCATAGAGTTAACATAGAGTTATCATAGAGTTATCATAGAGTTATTATAGAGTTAACATAGAGTTATCATAGAGTTATTATAGAGTTATCATAGAGTTATCATAGAGTTATTATAGAGTTATCATAGAGTTATCATAGAGTTATTATAGAGTTATTATAGAGTTAACATAGAGTTATCATAGAGTTATTATAGAGTTATCATAGAGTTATCATAGAGTTATCATAGAGTTATTATAGAGTTAACATAGAGTTATCATAGAGTTATTATAGAGTTATTATAGAGTTAACATAGAGTTATCATAGAGTTATTATAGAGTTAACATAGAGTTATCATAGAGTTATTATAGAGTTAACATAGAGTTATTATAGAGTTAACATAGAGTTATCATAGAGTTAACATAGAGTTAACAGAGTTATCATAGAGTTATCATGGAGTTATTATAGAGTTAACATAGAGTTATCATAGAGTTAACAGAGTTATCATAGAGTTATCATGGAGTTATTATAGAGGTAACATGGCATTATTATGGACTTAATAAGTTCCGTGTTATGGAAGAGTCCCCCTGATGACCCGAGGGCTGCTCAGACTGTTTAGATCCTTTTTAATATTTTTACTCTTTTTCAATATTTTAGTTCACCTCCTATTAATTCATTGTGATATTTTTATTGTATTATTTGTTTAAATGTTAAAACTCTGCTTTAATTATATAATGTCTTTATTCTTTCACCTTAGTTCCCTTTATGTTTCACTGTTAGTTATTATTTTGTATCTCAGTGTTCCAAAGACAGTCCTGCTGTGATACTACATGAGTATAGTGTATGTGTGTGTGAATGTGTGTGTGCGCACTATGAGTTACAGCTTTATTGTATAAAAAGTGTATATAAATAAAGTTTTGCTTGATTGATTAACACACAAAATTTACTTTCAGGTTTTAGATTTTTTTTTGTTATTGTTGTTTCTTTATTTTGACAAATTTAGAGATTTATTGGGGAATTATTTTATGAAAGTTCCAGATCATGACGAGAAAAAAGATTTTTCTTGATTTAAATCTGTTGTTTGAGAGTAAAAAGTTTCATCGGCTGGTGAAACGTTTACAGAGGAAACATTTTTATTTTCAATAATCGGGTCTTTTGTATAGTTTTAAAAGACTTTATTTTCATGTTTTAAATGTAAAATCTTCATCTCAAAGAAATTAAAATCAGTCAAATAGTTTATCCCTTATGAAGCTCCACATGCTCGGACTGTTCAGAGCAGCAGGACAACAGAAAAGCTGGTTTTACTTTTTGAAAGCTTTTTGGAAGACTTAATAATATGGAGTCTTAATCTGTCCTGAATGCAGAGGAGTAATAAGTGCGGTATTAAATATGATAGAAATGATGGATGTGTGGGTGGATGGTGCATCGTGGCCTTGGAGCAGCAGGACCTGAGCTTCCATCCTGATTTAATATGTTTTTGCATTCATTCGCTTTTTAAAGAAAGAAAAAGTCATGCGGAGTTTGCTTTTAATAAAACTGCAATAATCCTGCAGTAAAAGTCCCAGCAGGTCCCCCGGAGCGGCCCCGGGCCTCAGATTGAGAACCCGCGGCCACAGTTGACTTGAGCGTGATTAAAAATGAAGCGCCATAGAAACGGGGAGGCCAATGAAGACGCGCGGAGCTGTTTACAGGGGGTGTAGCGTTTCTATGGTTGCCGGTCAAACCTCCTGCAGCAGGTATTAAACTGGAGCCCGCAGCGCGCTGACAGCCGCCACAAACCTCCGCCGAGCAGGAGAAGCAGGACTCCTCCCCAGGTCTCCGTGTGGAGCAGCAGGTGCGCAGACTCACACTCGGCCTCCATCAGTCTGGATTCAACGGGCGCAGCTCAAAGGTGAGTCTGGATCTTTATTCCGAAGGTCATTTATCCTCTTTCTCTCAGCAAGCAAATCAGTACAGAAATGTAGAAATCACACAAGAACTGTTCAAAAGTCCTTCAAGAGTTTGATCGATCGGAGTACAAGAAGCGCAAATCTGCGGATTTTACTGCGCGTAAAAACTTATGAAAGTCCAGAAAGCGGAAAAAATTCAAACTTTATTAAAACAGGACGCGACAACTGAGACCCCTGCGTGCGCGAGCGCGAGCGCGAGTGTGAGTGTGTGTGCGTGTGCGTGTGTGCATGTGTGTGTGCGTGTGTGTGCATGTTTGTGTGTGTGTGTGTGTGTGTGCATGTTTGTGTGTGCGTGTGTGTGTGTGTGCGTGTTTGTGTGTGTGAGCATGTGTGTGTGCGTGTGTGTGTGTGTGCATGTTTGTGTGTGTGAGCATGTGTGTGTGCGTGTGTGTGTGTGTGTGCATGTTTGTGTGTGCGTGCGTGTGTGTGCGTGTGTGTGTGCATGTTTGTGTGTGTGTGTGTGTGTGTGTGCGTGTGTGTGTGCATGTTTGTGTGCATGTTTGTGTGTGTGTGTGTGTGTGTGCATGTTTGTGTGTGCGTGTGTGTGTGTGTGCGTGTTTGTGTGTGTGAGCATGTGTGTGTGCGTGTGTGTGTGTGTGCATGTTTGTGTGTGTGAGCATGTGTGTGTGCGTGTGTGTGTGTGTGTGCATGTTTGTGTGTGCGTGCGTGTGTGTGCGTGTGTGTGTGCATGTTTGTGTGTGTGTGTGTGTGTGTGTGTGTGTGTGTGTGTGTGTGTGTGTGTGTGTGTGTGTGTGTGTGTGTGTGTGTGTGTGTGTGAGAAAAAGATGTTGTGGTGTCAGAGTGACGTAACGCTGAGCTGTTGCTTTGAGTGGGTGTCGGGCATGAATGCGTGGATGTGGATTGAGTGCGTGTCCCTTTGCGCGCACACAGAGCTGTTCTCGGGTCATTGTTCTGGCCTTCACTGAAGTGTCGGGTGTGTATTTACAGTCCTGTCAGGAGGTAACAGAGGGAGGAGGAGGAGAAGTAGCTGACACAGAGGAGAGAGCCATGCTGTCCCTGAGCTGTGCCGACCCGTGGGCCGAAGGCTCCGTGGGTCTGGAGGAGGAGGTGGTGACTGCGGCGGCTCAGGCTGAGGAGCGGGACGGAGTCAGCGGCACCGACAGCAGCAGCTGCTCCGTCAGTCTGGACGACAGCCTGACCAGCCTGCAGTGGCTGCAGGAGTTCTCCATCCTCGGCACCAACGTGCCGCATCACACGCACCACCAGCACCACCTGTTCGGCCACCAGCAGCTGGGCTCTGACGCGCCAGCCTCCCCCCTGGCCGGGGATCCCGCCTCCATCGGGATGCCGCTGACCCCGGGGAAGCCCACGGCGGCGGCCTACAGCAGGATGCAGCCACTGCCCGGCATCGTGGCGCACGGACACTGTCCGGACGACGTGGACTACAAAACCAACGCGCACATCAAGCCACCGTATTCCTACGCCACCCTCATCTGCATGGCCATGCAGGCCAGCAAGAAGAGCAAGATCACGCTGTCCTGCATCTACAAATGGATCACCGACAACTTCTGCTACTACCGCCATGCTGACCCCACCTGGCAGGTAACGGACCCCCCACCCACACACACACACAGAGGCAGTCCACCTGAGACAGGATGTGCCACCTGCTGCACTCATTGTGTGAAAATGAGTTTCTCTCAGGTCACATCACAGCTGGATGTGTTTCTGTTTGAGAACAGAGGTCTGGGCCTGCTGCCACTTGGCTTTGTGTGTAATTAATAACTGAGGCCTAAAACACTCAAACTTTAACAGGATTGCACTTTTTGTTTTCCTTTTTTAAGCAGCATAATACCTGAAATCAGCTCAGTAGGAGTAACCGAAGCAGATTCTTTCTCATGAAGGCAGCAGCAGTTTTTCAGAAAACTTTAATTCTGTTGGATCAATGATTGATGAAGCCGTTCGCTGCACTCCCAGAATTTCAGCCTCAGACATTTCAGAGCATTTTGTTATTGTAAGGCAGTACATGGGGCAGATAATATTTAACAAAGGTCACAGGGTCAGCGCTCTGTTTAGACCTGAGTGGAGAGGGGCTGGATGGTTGAATGCAAGGATACATTATAACTGACTACAATGCTCTGCTAGCTGTACTTCCTGCACCACAAAAAGCTAACGTCTGTTGCTGAAAAGACACTTAAAGGTATCTGAACCTAAAAAGCTACATACCAGCAGCTTTATAGCAACTCATGTGTGTTAAAATAAAGATGTAAATATTGTTACCCAAGCCAAAAATGGAAGGATGCCTGAAAATAAAAGAATTAAATTAAGATTAATTTTAAAGGATCATAAAAGGAAACATGAGCGGGCAGGTTAGCTCACAGGTTTAGCAGGTGTGCTAAAGGCAGCATACTGGGATCAGCTCCAACCTGACATCCTTGGCTCTCTGATTTCCTGGCTTGAGGCAAAAAAGGACTTCAGATATAGTACACATGTACCTGTATTACTTTAAAGGAGATTTCTCTGCCATTTATTCTTAGCATGAACATTTAGGAATTCTTTTTGGCTTTTTAGTAACATCCAATTAGTCCTAGAATTTCACTCACTAAAACTGGAGCTCAGACCTGTTGGATGGTCTGTTAGTGCAGTAACTTCACAGCATCCATATTATTGGTTAGATAATTAAAAAGGCTCCAAAAGGCTCCAACAGCACAAACATGGTCCAGAGATTTAGTTCAGGGTCTCTAGCTAGCTGAGGAGAAGCCTAGCAGACAGCTAGCAGACAGCCGCCTGTGTCACCATACACCTGTCAGTCACAGAGGCCACGCCTCTAATAATGCAAACTGTAATCCAGAGTTATCCAAACATTCTCCCTTGTACAGTTATGAGGGGGGAAATTATCTACACAGACTGAAACAGTTTTTGTAAACATGTTACTACCATTATGCTAAGCTAAGCTAACTGTTAAGCCAGGCTGCAGCTTCAAATGTGCTGAACACAAATAAGAGCAACATCAATCTGATGATCTGAGCTGAATGAAGACAGTGTGTGAGCTGTTATTTAAAATATACATTCCTCCTTCCAGAACTCGATCCGACACAACCTCTCGCTCAACAAGTGCTTCATCAAGGTGCCGCGGCAGAAGGATGAGCCTGGGAAGGGGGGTTTCTGGAAGATTGACCCGCAGTATGCTGAGCGCCTCCTGAGTGGTGCCTACAAGAAGAGACGAATGCCGCCCGTCCAGATCAACCCGGCCCTGCGGAACAGACTCGGGGTGAACATGCAGCCTCAGCCCAGAGGGCAGATCGGGCTTTGCGTCAACCCAGAGTCCCAAAGGCTTCTTCGAGAGTTCGAAGAGGCAACGGGGGCTGATCAGAATTGGGACCCCCATCTGGCTGAGGGGACCATGCTGGGGTCCTGGCCAGTGGTCAGGGGAAGGAGTGGGCTCAAGAGGAAGCAGGGCTCTAGAAATGGTGCTGCCAAAGCCCCCCGTCGGTCCAGCTCCCCTCTGCTCTCCATGGATGAACAGAAGGAGATTGGACCTCTGAAGGGAGACTTCGACTGGGACGCCCTTCTGGATTCTGCCCTCAGCGGGGAGCTCACTTTGGAAGGTGGTGAGCCTCTGAGCCCCATCATGAAAGAGGAGGACCTAACAGTGCGGGGAACCCACATTTCTCCTGTTGAAGCCCCTGCAGGCTCAGCAGAGGCAGAGAGGAGTAACAACATGTCTGACTTTGATGAGGAGACCTTCCTTGCCACAGCCTTCCTGGAGAACCCCTGGCCAGAAGAGGAGGCGGATCATGGCCGCAGTGATTTCCTCTGTAGCTCCACCGTCAACTTAGACCAGCTGTTTGGGCTCGAGGACCCATTAGGTGGGGACCCCAGCAGCAGGATGGACACCCTCCTTTAAGGAATAATTTCCAGGTCGTCTTACAAACTAAGAACGCTTCTCAACACAACCTGGGAATAAAATACTCTTTTTTTATCCTCATGCAAGCTTAACCGTCCTTTTCAAGATGTTTAAAGTATTTTTAGAGAAACATTTTTACGCAGGTTCAATGCTGGAAATAAACACTCAATGCCTACCGAACAATGATGCCACAATGTACAGCAGCAGTTCATATTCCACAGAGAAACTACACTGAATGTTTTTTTCCTTTTTTTTGTGAAATGACAGTTTTCAGAGTGAAGGCCTGGACACACCAGAAGGCAGCACGGTAATTTTAGCGTCATGTTTCCCTTCGTGTGTTTGTGAGAACACGGGGCCAGGGGTGGACGGTGTTCCTGCTAAACGAGTTTCACATAATGATGTAAACATTTGTTTAAACTACATTTCTAGCGGTCATTAACCCTCACAAGCACTGATTGCTGCCATTCAGTAAGCTTCCAGAAGTTGGCCAATCATTGAGCTGTTAGGGAGGGTGTAGTTTAAAGATGCTGGAGCTAAATGCAAGTAGACTTTATTTCTAGTCTAATGTCCATTCAAACTGATTCAGACGTTTATGTTCTTACATAGAGCTCCTACAGATAATGCTAATAAGTTAGCCAGTCACTAGTCCGCTCAATCATAACAGGAAGATGAGAACCCCCAAAATAAACTCTCTCAAAACTACACAAAAACACTGACAGTTCGTTATGTTTTATACTCGGTTTACCACTACGGAAAAGTGTGGATTTGGCTGCATGTGGTCTCTGGCAGTTGATATTGTGAAATTACTTAGAATAGGAACACAATGCCACACCACAACCTTGTTGTGCTTGCTTTGGTTGCTAGCAGGTTGCTCTTCCCACCAGCAGTTTGCATGGAACTTGTCTGCAAACACACGTCAACTACTCACCAAGCGGTAATGAAACTGTGAGAAGTGCGACGCTAACTGGAATCAGAGGCCGTATGGCTTTTCATTTTGGCGATAAAGCACAACTTTTATTTTATACAATCCACCGGCAACCAAAACCACTCCATCTGATCAGAGAGGTCCACATTTTCTTTCAGAAATAAACAGCTAACAGCATGAATCCACCAATCGGCACAATTTTATTGGAATAAATTGATCTCTGGTGTGACCAGGCCTTACAGACGACACAACATGGTCTCTGTTTACATCACGAAAGTGTTTTATTGTGAAAAAGGAGATCATGTTGCCTGAAAGATATTTTCAGTGAACAGTTGATCAACTAAGACTTTTTTTTAATTGTTAAAGTGGAATCAGGAGTAATGCTACGACAGACTGATGATGAGATTTTTGCCAAATTATGTTCTGTGTAGATGTGATTTACTCATTTAGTTTTCTTGTCTTTTTTTGGCGTGGGATTTTTTTGGTACTAACTCTTTATTTTCAGAATGAACTAGCACAACTTTAACAAATTATTCATGTTAGCTTAACTTTTTCCAGAAAAACAGACTGACATATATGGCTTGTAGAAGTAACGGCTTTCTTTCTTCCTTCCTGTGACTTTGTAGCCGGTAGATATAAAGAAACGCAGCAGAGGACGCATCACAGCTTCGCGGTGTAAAAGTTAAAATAAACACAAAGCAGCCTGAGGCAAAATTCTCCAACAAAGAATCATTAGGAGCTTAAAATGCACAGTTTAAAGAGGCCACGGTGGCTTGTAAATGAATACCTGACCTTCTATGTGCCAAGAACAACACTTGGGACTCGACGGGGCGGCCGTGCGCGTTTTACTGCAATGAGGAAATGTTTTTGTGTTGGTGTGCGATAAAGTTGGGGACTGCTGGACGTGAACAAAAGAGCTCGCTGGATTCAGACTAAACCAAATCACGCTGCATAAGGACGGGGACAGTCTTTAACTGCTGAGATGCAGTAACTGTTCTCTAAACATGTGTGAAAGTGCAATCATTGTACAGTGATATTTGTTATATGTTACAGTCATTTGTTGGAGTCCATTCATGCTGTTTACTTCAGAGAGACCAGGTTCACTGTTTTGTGTATTCGGAGGTGTGAATACACTCGAGGGACTCTCAGTAAAACCAGCTATGGTTGTGTTTTAGCTCGTCTCAATCAAATAACACTTTAAACCACAATAATGGGATCTTACCTCATGATTGGTTCTATGCTGATGTTTAAACGCTCATGTATTCTTCTACCTTTTTGTTTTTATTTTATTTTTCAACTTTTCTTTGACAATAAAAAATGTTTTACTGCATCTCGCCTGTCTACTTGACACATTTCCTCATTTTTAGTCATGAAGGCTCTTTCAGTTTGACTGCCAAAAAAGGCAGTTCACGGTCCTCAGAGGATAAACTCTTCTATCAAAAACCTCCAAGCCTCTCACTCATCCAGTCACACGTAAAGTTAATGTAAAGGCTGAAATGTTTTAAAGGCATTCGTGGTCCCCAGAGGATAATCAAAATGACTTTTGAATCTTTAACTTTTCTCTAGTCCAACCACGAGGTTATCGTCTAAGAAGAACAGCTCCACGGCTCTGGTGGGGATTCCTCTGGCATGTTTAGATATTCGTGGTCCCCAGAGGGTGAATCTTAATGATCTCAACTGTAACAGCTAATCTGTAGCACAGTTATTCTGTAAAGTCTGGAAAGGCATTTGTGGTCCTGGGAGGGTGACTTCCTGCATGCTAACGGTCTGGACTGCTGTGACACTCGAGCTTTAACTCAAATAATTTTGGTGATGCCATGACCACAACTAGACTAAGCTTTCACTCATTTATTAAAATACATCAACTCCTGCTTGTTGGATTGGTACATAACTCATTCAAAGTCCCCCGAGGGTGAATCCTAAGGCTGGTGGTTATGAAACAGGAAGTTTTTCTCTTAAAACAGTCACTCTGGATGGATTGTGATGATAGTTTCTACAGATATTCATAAAAGAGCTTTTTCTTTTTCATCAGCCGGTCTATGACTGTGATGGTCGAGGTATTCAAATGGGAACAGGACAGCCCTGATGTTTTGTCTGGATATTCTTGGTTTCTGCAGGATACATTTGAGTGATTTTCTGATAGCTTTTCACTATGCTGTGTCCTATCGACTCAACAGATCAGTCTGTAAGGAGTAGTGGTTTGTTCCCTGAGGATGAACCCCATCCTTAGCTGTTGGATGGATGTGATGAAGATTCATGCAGAGCTTCGTGCCATTTTCCACGAAGTGCTGCGCATTTGATATTTTCCAAGAGTATTATTTTCTACGATCTACTTTATGGATGCTGAAATATTCGGCTTCTCGATAGTTTGTATTTTATTTTATTTATTATTTCAGCTTTAGTTTTTATTATTTGAAAATATTTCGTTACATTGACAGTTTTAGTATGTTTTTATTCAGTCTGGATATCACAGTATAAACAGAACATTTAAAAGCAGTGGACTAAACCCTCATCAGACAGTAAACAAGTTAACAAATACCAAATCCACAGATATTTCTGCTGTAATTTTATTTTACTGTAGTTTCCAAGATCACTAAAATTATTTTAGTTGGTTTAAATAGATTTTTTAAATCTAGCGTTTATGTTTACATGGGTCCGATTTTGAGCGCCCGAGGATAACCTTAAATGACTTTGGTCCTCTGTTATATTTAAAATCCATCAGCAGCTTTTTTTCTCGGGACTTCATGTTCCCCTCAGGATGAAATATTATAATTTCAGACTTTTCATTGAGATGTATTTTAATTTATGGTGCAGTTTTACCACATTTATTGGCTTATGACCTGAATGAAATGACGATGAGCAAACAGGGTAATCTGAAACAGTCGCCATGCTGAGCTGCTAATCATCAGCACGTTGTCATTGTGAGCATGCCTCCGGGGCTGTTTCATGGCTACGTGGTATGTCTTGTTTTCTCCTGCTCGCTGTCTGTTTCGGCCCTCACCCCCCTCTGCTTTAGTGCGCCTGGGCGTGAGATTTACGCTGCTCTTTTCCTGCTCGTCTCTTTTGGGGCTCTCGGTGTGTTCAGGCAGTAGATGGGTAATAGTAGCGGGGGGTGGCTGGGTTTCTGTTTCAGGGCTTTGTCTGTGCTCAGTCAAACTCTTGTTCCCCATGAAGCTCAGATCTGTGGTCCCTCATTGGGGCGGTGTGGGGTCTAACGGGGACAAGTGTCCCACGGCCCCATATATCACGGCCTGTCTGCCCCGCTGTAGACCACACCGTCACTCCCTGACCCTGCCGCAGATTAGCTAGGTGGCTCGCGTTCAGAGCATCAGATGAATAGCCGCAGCAATCAAATGCAAATACGTAGAATTTAAGAAGCCTGCGTTCCCCCCCCCCCCCGGGGTCGTGAACAGACGGGCTCTCTGTGAGCGAGCGTGTCTGTCTGTGGTCACTGATGAGGTAATGACGGCAGAGGGATGAAGGGAAAAGATAAAGTGCTGTAACGCTACACCTCTGCATGATGGACACCCAACACTCCTGTGGAAGAGCAGGATCCTGCATCTTCATGCCCAGCCCCGCAGCCTTTTTCCTGGAAAGGGGAGCTGCTGTCGTCCCCCCCAGCCAGAGCTCCATGTAGGCCCCCCGCAGCGCTATTACCTGCTGGACGGAGCTCTCCAGCTGGATCGCAGGGCTCATAATTATAATGCAGCAGGCTGGTTAGATGAGATGCCGTGGTAACCTGATGCAGGTATTATTCTCCGGCCCTGCTGACGGCTGCAGGTAAGAGGAGCCACCTGCTGAAACGCTAACCCTCGCCGCTTCTTCCAACAAGAAACGCTGCAAACTGAAAGTGCTAAACGCCAACACCCGATGTGGCCGGGCTGACGATGCAGCCACTTACAGCAGGCTTCAGCAGAAGAGAGCAGGGTGCCTGCCAAAACCTCAGAGAAAATGAGGTTTTCTAATCATTTAGATTAGAAAACCTCATTTTCATCAACCTCATTAACCTCAGATTAATAGTTCCTTGTATGTGAAGATTGTCCCTTATTTTCTTGTTTTATATGATTGTAAAATATGATCGAAAGCATTTAGTTCTGACACAGCTGACAGGGATGATAATTGGCAGGTTCACAGACCTGACGGTTTCTGAAGCCTCAGGATGCGGATCAGAGGTAAAGCACGGACCGCCTCGTCCTTCCCAAACTAGCAGACTTGAAACCAGCAGCTGACACCATTACGACATTTAAAAAAGCCAAAAAAGCCAAAAAAGCCATCTTGACATGTTTTTGGATGCTTCACCGTTGCAGACAACGGTGCAACACAACAATGACACTCGAGTGAGATTTCACGACGAATCACCTGGTCAGCCTGTGACTGTCCGGGTGCTCTGAGCTCAGGTTTAGTCAGTCTCAGCTCTTGTGAGCAGTCAGGATGTCTCCACTCCTGCAAGCTGCACTGCCGAATGAGGGATCTGCAGCTTATCTGCAAGATGTGAAACGGTGGACAGACGAGAAGCGGCGGGGAATACATCTTTTTTCACACAGCTAATGAAAAGCCTGTTGCCGGGGTAACTGCTGGTACCATTGTCATGTAGGACTGGAGGGAGCGGGGATGGGTGACGGTCTGTTCCTGGTGCTATGGAGGCTGTCGGGTTGATTAGGGCTGAGGAGGGATGTTGTGGATGGAGCCCCAGATTTATTGCAGCAGGGTTTTTGTGAAAGTTCACTTACCTCACCAAAGTGAGGCTCCAGAGAACAGACCCCCAAAGTGCAATGGCACAGGAAGAATTCTTCAGCTCCTTTACTTATGTAAAAGTACCAATATATCAGATTAACAACATGCCGTTACAAGGAAAAGTCCTGCTTTAAATCCTGCTTAAAGGAGAGTTTTGGCATGCTTGTTCGCACTCTTTTCTCTTTGTTAAATATCATTTCCACCTTAAGAAGCATCTGCGAGTTCATGGAGGAGTTCATGGAGCAGCATCAGGATCTATGGGTCCCTTTATGAGGTCTCACTAATGAAAATTACACAAATTAAAAAATGAAAAATGTTTTCTCCCCATAACTTTGAAAATACTCACAGTGTGAAGGTAGGACTCCATGCAACTTCAAGACAGTCGCTCCACCTCAAATCCTGCTCCATCATTTGCATGAAGACTATGGTCCAAAGTTTGAACAAATATAGTGATTGCTGTCAGATTTTAGCTTCCTTTACCAAATACTTTCTTAGATATATGTTTCTGAAAAATGCTCCTTTGAGCCACTCACAGGCCAGTGTTTTGCGCACTGAAACTCACGTTTGAACATGAATATCTCAAAAACCATTAAAGATAAAAGTCTGTTTTTTTCACTCATCTTTATATCAAAGTAAATCAGCATCTGTAATTTGGGACACATAACACCTCAGGCTAGTAAAAATATTTTAAAAAATGCATCACTTTGCAAAGTAGCATATTTGAGCACACATTAATTTAAAAAAATTCACATTGCAAAAGACAAATAGTGGTAATTTCTGAACAGTATATCATCATATTTCATAATAATGCAAAAATAAAAGACACAATTCTCTTAACTTTAATTTTTTTTGTCACAAAAACAAAGAAAATTGTATTTTTATTCAACTTTCATGTTGGATTGAGTAAATATTACAGTCCGTACCACATAAACAAAAATATCAACAGATCGAACTTTCCAGATTTACACAGAAAATAATTAAATATGTGGACATTTGTAATTTAAAAAATTGTTTGGACAAATACGATGATTTCTATGAAATGGTTGATGTTGAGGGGTCCATCACAATGTAGGTATAAAGGACACCTTTCATGTGCTCTAACTGGATTTGAACAGTGACCCATCTCACATGCTGACATGAGCCTTGAAGATCTGCCCGAGATGCACGTCATTAAATCAACGATCGGAGGCACCAACACTCATTCCTGCCCCTCCACAGTCAACAGGTGACTTACTTACATGCAAACTCCTCATCAGGACGATGGAAGAGTGCCGGTGGCTCAGTAAACACATAGAAAGCATTTTACTGCTGCAGCTTCTCCGTCACCTGATGTGATATTTATTGCTCTCTCTTCCTGCTGTTTGTGTTGCGTTGAAACATGTGAAGACGCGTCTTATCTTACTGTCACAGCAGCGCATGAAAAATCAACACCATAAAATCAAACAGAGTGGCTCTCAGCTTTTAGGGGCTGCTCGTCTGTTTGCTCAGACTATGCTGTGAAAACACCTGTGATCAGGTTTGAAACACCCAAAGAGCACATCAGTCGGCATTTTAAATACAATGCACTGTAAGCTAAATAAACAGCTATAAGGCAGA